GAGCTGCCCCGCCCCTCCAGCGGCGGGAAAGTTGAGCGCAGTGGACTCCGCGCCACTGTAGCTAGTCCGCTGGCCAAAGAAAACTGTCAAAAGTAATTGAATGTGTACACGCGGGTTGTGCGCACTCCTTCCCGCCCTCCGTGCCTCCTGGGTGGGCTGGGCATACCGCGCAAGATTAGGTGCCTTCGCGCCGCATTTCTGCTGCAATCGCACTCCCAATTTAGCCTGTCCCGGCTGGCGGTCCCGGTCTTCGGGACTGAACGCCCAGACCCTCCTGGGGAGAGGTCCCGCAAGCTGCTTTGAGGGAGTCATTTCAACCCTTGGATGAGGGCCTAGGCTGGCCCAGGGCAGCTCCAGAGTACCTGACAGGGGGCACTGATGTTACTGTCATTGTTGTTATTAATGGCTGTAACGACCACTTGAGAACCTAAAACGTTGGCACTGTAGGCATTTCACCCTTTTAGAGAGGATTCCATGGAGCAAGGCAGAACACAGCCTAAAGACTGGGTGGGGGAGTGAATCCACCTTGACCCCATGGGAACACCAGATGCAAGGAGAAGCTGCTGCCACAGGCCTTCAACAACCAAATTTTAGACGCCCAACCTGACTCCTAAGTCTTCCGGGATTTGTTTGAATTGATGGCCAGCTGTGTTCCAGGGAAGTCCCAGCCCTCATTCACTCCCGCTGGGATCCATGGATCTGAGTACTGATCAAGATTAAGAAGGAAATAGGGGTGCCTGGGTGGCTCAGTAGGTTAAGCATCCACTTGGCTCAGGTTATGATCTCACGGTTGGTGGGTTCAGCCCCAAGTCGGGCTCTCTGTGCCCATGGCTGAGAGTCTGCTTCAGATTCTCTCTCTCTGCCCCTCCCCTGAACATGCGAGTGCGCTGTCTCACAAATAAGTAAATAAACATTAACAACAACAACAACAAAAAGATTAAAGGGGCGCCTGGGTGGCTCATTAGGTTAAGCATCCAATTCTTGGTTTCAGCTCAGGTCATGATCTCATGGTTCATGAGTTTGAGCCCCCTGTTGGGCCCTGCGCTGTTGGTGCAGAGCCTGGTTGGGATTCTCTCTCTCCCTTTCTTTCTGCCCCTCCCTCTGCTTATGCTCTCTCTCTCTCAAAATAAATAAGTTAAAAAAAAAAAAAGACTAAGGAGGAAATAAAAAGAAACCTAATCAAAATACAGCCAGTGAAAAACAACTAGTCCCTGAAGCTGCTGTACATCCAGTATCCACCCACTTCCTGGATTTCTTGCTCTGGATCATAAGGCCCTTGGAGGCCAGCATGAGGCCAGGTATTACCTCTTCTTCTCCTGGGGATCAACAGAACAGCCCTGGGGAGGGAAGATGGTGGAAAGCTCAAAGGCCCACACAAGGGTCCTTCTCAGGAAGATTCCAAGTATCCAGTGGCTTGTAGGGTAACAGAACCAGAAACTGTTACAGGTGCTCCAGAAAGAATTCGTGGCATGGAGGGCCTTAAGGGCAATGAGTCTCCCTTTTACCTAAAGATTCCAGGTACATGATTAGGAGGAAAAGACCTGAGTGAATCAGTTGCTCCTTAATAACAATAGCTCACACCTATTGTGTGCCAGACACTGTTCTAAGGTCTTTACACATATTAATTACATTCTGATAAGTCTTCTGTGATAGCTATTATTATTATCCCTATGTTAGAGGTGAGGAAACTAAGGTACAAAGAGATTAAGTAGCTTACCCATTAGTCAACTGGCAGTTGGTGGAGCTGAAACTTTTATCCAGTGGTCTGGCATCTGGGTCCATGCTTTTCAGCACCATGCATTTCTGCCTCCTCTTGAAGGATAATGCTACTTTATCTCACAAGTGCTGATCCTGAGAGATACTCTCTGTGGCACAAAGGATGCTTGGACTAACTAGAAAACTGGAGCTCTAGCCCTGGCTCAATCACCCCATTTGTGCAGTTCTCTGAGCTGTAAAACAAAGAGAGCTGGGTCAGGTTCTTTCCAACTCTGCACGTCTTGTTGGCAGAGAAGGGATTTGATATGTCACCTTCTACCTTGAAGTGACCTTTTCTTCCCTTTCCTTTCCTCCTCTTTAAAGAGCACTCCATTCTAAAGCCCCCTCCCCTTTTTTCAAGTTTATTTATTCTGAGAGAAAGAGAGAGCAAGCAGGGGAGGGGCAGAGAGAAGGAGAGAACCCCAAGCAGGCTCCACGCCAAACTTGCAGAGCCAAACAAGGGGCTCCATCTCACAAACTGTGAGATCATGACCTGAGTGGAAGTCAAGAGTCAGATGCTTAACTGACTGAGCCATCCAGGTGCCGGGAGCACTGCATTCTAGACACAAGAGTTTGAGACTAGGAAGCAGGATTCTTTTAATCCATCCTGCCTTCAGTTCTATCATCTGAGAGGAGGGGTGCTCTCCAGGTACAGGAGCAGGGAGTTGCAATAATTACCTGGACCAGGCATATGTCAGCCCTGCCCTCTGGCTTTCTTCAGAGCGCCAAAGACTGACAGAGAGCAGGGTGGGTGGAGCCAAGGCATAAAGAACTAATTAGCAGGAGAAGCCACTGGGTTTGGTGCTTTCCTGTGTGGTTAACCATTTGAACTATTAGCTGAGCTCTGAACTACAATCTGTAGAAGACAAGCATGGATTCCATTTTTCATAAAGTCATTTTCTGGGAGAGGTGGCCTGGGAACTTAGACATGATTTGGTTCGTTTGCTTTGGCTAGAAAGACTGAGCTTATCTAGACAGATTGGTGACTCTGGGAACCCCTAGAAAATCTGTGAAATGACCTTGCCTCCATTATCATGCATTCTGGCACTCCAGCCAGAGCCCAGTGATGTGCCCTTTCTACTTGATTTGGATAATTCAGAAAGCAGCAGGCAGACTTCATCTTAGTTCAAGGCAGTGTTTCCTCTGGAAACTTCAGTACATTGTTAGCAATTTGGAAACTGAGCTTTCCCTAGACAGTAGTGCTTCCTTGTATATGATGACTGGTACCACTAAATAGCTCCTGAAGGGTCTATGGAGGAGTGGGATTAGTGGAGAATCTCTCCTCCCACACCCTGCCTGTTTTAGAGAACTGCCAGTTGACCTCATCTCCCTTCTTCCACTATTGACATTCAATGCTTCTAATCGCAGGAGGGGGTTAAGAGCTTGTACTTCATTAGAAAGTCATACCTCATTTCTGGAAACCACTCAGTGAGCTGAGGTGGCTTGTGCTCAAAGTTTGTGAGCTCTATCTCACTAATGTCCAGCGGTCAGCCACCCAGAAAATCTAGTCCCTGATGGGGCAGGTCACAGCAGCTGTCCCAGAGCAGTCGCTCTGTACCACACATGGCAGAGGAATTTTTGGTTCCTTTGCTTATTCATTCTCCTAACATTCAGGTGACCAGGCCAAGTTCCCGCTTGGTCACTTGATTGGAGGCACAATGTCTGAAATAATCTTTAGTGATTCTATTGCCCATCCAGTCTTTACTTTGTGGGAGGTAGAAAGTTAAGATCCATACCCTCCCCCCCCACCCCCACTGAGTTCAGCTGTTAAGGATGTGC